ATATATATATATATATATATATATATATACATATACATATATATATATTCCTGTAAAATTGGCATCATATGGCACATATAATCTCATTACTTTTATATTATTAAAGAGCCTTTATAAATATAGTTTCATGGCTCAGTGGCATCTGTCCTAAGTTTTATAATTTTCTTATTGTTATTTGAGTTATTTTCAATTTTTGCCTACTATGAAATAAAGCTTAGTAGACAGCCTTAAGTAGTTCTAGAAGACGAATTTTTAAACAGAGAATTAGTGTTAAAAAACATATGCATTTATAAAGCTTTTAAATATACAGACAAGTACCTTTATGTAGTTTACAGAGTAAATAGAAGACATAAAATAGGTAAATGCACACAGAAATATATAATTACACATCACAGTAGGCAGTAAGAAGGATTAGGATATAGAGCTATTAGAATAAATGAGGAAGCTGGTACTAGAATTATAAAGTATGGGCTCACCGAACGGTTGTGCAGGCTCACATTAAGCAAACACCAACCACATACACTGATTTTAGCTTTACTCACACTCCAACTCTTTCTAATAGTCATGTAGTGATGAGTGTAATTAGGCTTTTAGGCTTTTAAAAGGGCATGTGAAAATTTCCAAAGATGTCACACCACCTTCTAAGACTAGATTTCTTTTTGCTCTCTGAGCACTTATTGGTGCCGATCCAGGGCCCAGAGCATTGCCAAGAAAAACGTTGGGGGATATGGAAGTAGGGGAGAAAAAAAGAAAAATTACAAGGTGGGAAGAGAAGAAAGTGCACATGGGTATTTGACCTGAGCTCGGCTGCTGTGTATGAGATGGAACAACAGCACACATGGACTCTGTATGGAGCGCATCACTGAGCCTGGAACCTGGCTCAAATAATACTCAGTGAGATAGCTCTGGAAACAGCATCACTCCCTCCAGTACCATACATTTTCTACTTCTTTTTTCATTGCAATACTCTGTGGGAAATTATCAATTGTAGTTTACAAAAGGGACATGACGCGCAGAACAAAAACAATCACATCTTCTAAGTCCAAAAGATGTAGTAACTTTTCTTCATAGCATTCTTAGGAAAAAACAATGACTTCTGGTTCAAGTAAATGCTCTATCAATGTCTAATACTAACCCTATATTCATGACTTACATATCTTAAATATTGTATTTTTCCTGGAAATTAATATTTATTTGAATTTGTTTTCAAAATAGTATTTGAGATGATGTGGAAACTCAGTGTGCCTGTGTTGTGACAGAACTGGAACTGTGCTAGGGGCTGGGATGGACCAATGACTACTTCAGGTCTAGCCCCGACCTCTTTCAAAGCTCTAATTAACATAATGGGGTGAGACAACCAAATTACCAATAAATAAGAAGAATGCTGATAATCCATAGCAAAGATTAAAGGGAACAGACAGGGCAGTATGACTGAGTAATGGGGCTAAAAGGAGAATGTGGCCCCAGTTAAGATAGCACATGGCTCAGGGAAGCCTCTCTGAGCGGACAATAAGTTCAAACAAGCAGGCATGAGCAAAGAAGCCAAAAGAGGAACACTGCACACAGCACAGCAGAAGGGCCATGGCTCTGAGAAAGAAACGGGCTTGGCAAACTGAGGCACAGAAGCAGAGAAGTATGGCTACAGTGTCATGGGGCAAAGGGAGATCAGGTGAAGTAGTGGTTAGAGGGGTCACATAGCACTTGGAGGATCATGGCTAAGAAGAAAATCATCCTGGCTTTAGAGTGAAAAATAGACTACAGAGGGGCAACAGTGAAATCAGGGTCACAGTTAGACTAATATCCAATAATTTGTTTTATGAAGAGTGAATGATGGCTTGGGTGGTGGCTACAGAGATGGTGAAAGCTGTATTTTGAAGGTTTAACTAATAATAGGTCTTGCTGATAATATTAAAAGAAAGAAAGACTATAGGATGATCTTTAGGTTTGGGGCTTGGGTAGTAGGGTAGATGGGGAAAACTGATATTGTAGGTATAAATGTAGGTGTAAATGTGGGTATAGAAGAGAAGTAGGGAAATAACAGGTTTCTATGCAGTGTTACATCCATTTGACATCTGTGATCATGAAATTTAAAGTGAAACTAGTTAGTTCCACTGCCTGACTTTTTCCCCAGAAATGTCTGACTGTTCTGATGCAGACTCAGAGGGTAAATTGAGTTCCTCTGGGGGCTGAGATTTGGCAAAAAATGAAATTAGAAATGGAGCTAACTACAAGTGTATACGGACTCTAAACCATTTTCACATGTAAAGGAAGAAGAGAGAATTAACAGACAGAATTAAAAAAACCTAACATCAATTAGTAATCATCTACAAACTACCTATCATATGGTGAAAAAGAGTACTGAACTATACACCTTCTAACAGATGGTTGTTTGAACCAACATTCTAGAAGCTATAATATGGAAGACAAACTGATATTAACTTTGAAGGCAATTGTCCCTTAATTTCAAACTACTATAAAATTAAACTATTCTATAATAATTCTTCTAAACAGAATGAGAAACCAGTCCTTACCTCATGATTATAATCCAGGATTCCTTTTAAAATTTTCTTTAAATTGCTTATCTGTTTAAGAAAGAGAAAACAACCGGGTAAAAGGGGCAAGCATAGATTAAAATATAGTTAAATATAAGAAATTTCTCAGTCAACCAATCACTATAATCATAAAACACTAAAAAAAAGTCAGTGGTATATCTGAATTACCATCATCAAAAATGGACTATTAATAACTTTATTTGATCTGAGAGCTTTATAAAACAAATTATGTTTTCAATTACACAGAATTTTTAATGTTATGACCACATCAACAGGTGGAGGGTAAATGAATAAGACTTAGCAATAAGGCTAAATTATTCAGATTTTCTATCCTTAATGAAGACTTGAGTTCAGGGCTGGTATTCCCAGAAAAGTGGAATTGCATCTACAAAAGGTTCAGTTCTACCGTTAGAACATTAAGCTAAAGTTCAAGTCAGAATTACACTTGGAAACCTCTTAACACACAAAATATAATGTCTCCAAATTCCTTTGCTGTTAGAAAAAACTACTGTTTCTTTAGTTGAGTGCCAAAGTAAATATTTAAGCCATAAGGTTAAAAAATTACTATTATATCTTGAAACACTAGACTAACACTCAGCATTGTGAGATATTTGTGCTGTAAGAAATATCTTATATAAAAGATAGGATGAGAGAGTAATATGCAGATGTCCCAATAATAACTCGCTCCAGAGCACACATTCACAGCCATACGTTATCTGAGGGAAAGTTCAGGCAGAATCACCTGCACTATTTACTGTGAACTCTAATTTTTTCTTTGAAACTCATACACGCATATTTGTGTTAGACTAAATCTGTCTATGATACGGTTCTGTTAATCATCCTGTCAATCCAGTTGACCCTGGCCAATGTGAGTAACTGAAAATGTCTGGCTGGGCTCCGTGGCTCAGCCTGTAATACTAGCACTTTGGGAGGCTGAGGAGAGTGGATTGCGTGAGCCCGCGGTTTGGAGACCAGCACAGGCAACTGGGCGAGACCTCGTCTCTACAATAAATAATAATAACCAAAAATTAGTCTGGCGTGGTAGCACACGCCTGTAGTTCTGGCTACTTGGAAGGCTGAGGTGGAAGGATTGCCGAAGTTCAGCAGGTTGATGCTGGGGTGGCCCTCTGAGTGTGCCACTGCACTCCAGCCTGGACGACAGAGTGAGACTCTGACTCAAAAAAAAAAAAAAAAAAAAAGAAAATATCCTAGAACAGAAGCCAGCAGAGCCTAAGGTTATGAAATAGAATCTGAATCACAGCAGTGGGATCCAATAGTTAATTAAAAACATATTTATTTTTAAAGGAGAAAATAAACTAAAAACTTAGCTTACTTATTTCTTAAAAACCTTATAAATAAAATTACATGCTTATATTTCTGGAAAATTTTGGAGACCTGAAAAAGGCATAATATACTTTATTTCCTTTATTCTATAATGTTCGTTTTCTCATATTTTTAATACTTGAAATTAGAACATCTTGAAAATCAATGTGTTAATTTAAATTGGTAGCTTTTTTATCCCATCACAAAAAGCTATATATTATACCTTTAATAAATGATATCATAAAACTGAAGAAGTATAATACAGAGTACAATACAGAAATAGGAATTTCAGTTCTAAACATTAAGAACATAACTACCATTGCCCTACTCATGACATAAAGACAGTGGGTGTGTAATTGTGTGCATGGGGCAGGGGATATACAACTCCCTCTAGTCAAGTTGGTAAGCAAACACAAAATTATTAGGAACATAATTTTAAACAATCATGAATTGTCTCAAACATGTTGAACTATTTAAAAATAATCATTTTAATTGCCTATTCTTGAAAGATTGTTTAAAGACATTAAAATAGTGCCATTAAAGAGTTTCCATTTACTAGATTAATTAAAAGAAGAAATTAGATTTTGGCAGACCAATACTTAAGCAATCAAATAATATTTTTCTTATCAAATATGTGCTTCTTGGGAGAAATACAAAGGCAACTCAAGCTTAGCACATCTTAAGTTCTGGGGCTTCACAAGCATAATCATTTCTATCTCTGAGTCTATACCAGTGTGTGTCTATTCCCCACCACCACCTAAAAAAAATTTTTTTTAATGGTCTCATGGTTTTACATCACAGTTATGACCATTACTGGGTCAGAAAAATCAATTCAGTGTAACAAAATCACAGAGATGGACAACAAATTAGTAGGTGCAAGGAATTAAGGGTGACATGGACACGGATACAAAGGCAGCACCAGAGAGCTATGTGGTGATGGTCTAGTTCTGTATCTTCACTCTGGTGGTAGTTACAGGAAGCTACAATGAGACAGAGCTACATAGAACTATACACACAAACACAAAATAGGATACTAAATTTAGTGGGTTGCAACAAACATTATTAAAAATGAAATAAAATAACATCACTGCCTAAGGTAAGAATAAAAACTTGTCTAGTTATATATGGCACATGCATTCCGGTAGGCAGAAGATTGCAATGTAAATTGTATTTCTTACTGTGGGTTTTAGTCAAAGATAATTGTGAAATATTGGAACTTAAAGGTTACTAGGAAGGAAATAAAAATGTTTCATTCTCTGAGTGTTCTGGACAGTTAATAATGGCCAATATTATGTCATTATTAAAAACCATACTAGCAACTAATACTTATATGTGCCATGCACTATTCTAAGTACTTAACATAATAATAATAACTAACCTATTTCTGTATGGCAGAGCCTATTTTAACCCTCATTTTTACAAATTGGAAAATCAAGGCATAGAAAGGTCACAATACTCCAAAGATAGTAAATGGCAGAACTATGATGTGGATACAGGCACGCCAGCTCTACAGTCCATGCCCTTGCTCACTGAGTTTTACTGACTCACATTATGTCATGTCTAAGTGATTAACTCCAGGTACTCTCCAGTCTTCAATTGTGGGGTAATTTACTACATAGGCTACCTAAATTTCTATAGCTCACTAGACACACCGATTTTTAAAAATCAACAAATATTATATGCATACAAATATTTAAAGATTTAAAAGGTGGGAAAATAAAAAGAAAATACCTTTAGCCTCCAATTATCTCCTACTTCCGTTTTGATTCTGTTTAGCCAATTTTCATCAAAATATGCAGGATCTCTGCAAAGTAAGGAAAAGCTAGTATATTAAGGTCATGTTGCTATTGAGCTAAACAAAGAAATTTGAATTCTATCCCATATCATCACTTAACTGCATGCAACATAAAAATGTATTTGCCACATATCACATATCATAACTCAGTACATGAGACCAAAAGCAATTATAGCAGATTTCTCTAAAAATCACCCTAGCTCATTAAGAAAAAAATTTTAATCAAAAACAAACTAAAGGGCAAAAAGACAGTAATACATACTTAATACATTTTAAAAACAAGTTGTAGATGAATAACCTAACCTGAAATTAACTTAATTGTAGATATTACATTAATATCTAAAAGCAGTAAAAGTCAATGACATGATTTAAAAATAGATATATATATATCAAGAAAGTTAAAATAAGCTTTCACTTAATAATTCAATGACCTTGGCTGGGCTCGGTGGCTCAGCCTGTAATCCCAGCAGGCGAGTGGTCTGCCTGAGCCCTCAGGTTCAAGACCCACTCGGGCGACTGCGGGAGACCTCGTCTCTACAATAAAAATAAAAAATTAGCTAGGCGTGGTAGCACACACCTATAGTTCCAACTACTTGGAAGGTTGAGGTGGGAGGATCACCGAAGCCCAGCAGGTCAAGGCTCTGATGGCCGGGAGTGTGCTACTGCATTCCAGTCTGGGCAACAGAGTGAGACTCCAACTCAAAAAAAAAAAAAAAAAAAATCAATGACCTCGGGCAACCCCCTCAGGTCTCCTCTCACTGTGGGAACTTTTCTGTCCTCTCCATAATCCTACTTTCAAATAATAATAATAAAAAAAATAATAATAATAAATTCAATGACTTCCATCACCTAATACTTCAAAGGTCACAAAAATGCTACTAAATTTCAATTTCTTCAAATAATGAATATTAAGAATCCATTTTTTCAGATGCAGTACTAGGCTTTAGACAAAGCTGAACAATTGTTGGCAAAATGCCTAAAATTTAAGGTAAGACAACTAGTGTGGACAAATATTAAAAAGACAGACCTGAATATATTTATTTTCTCTAGGAAAATCTTCCATACGTCTAATCAACTTCTAATAAACACTAGAAAGTAGGAAAGAAAACATAACACTTTCCAAACCCACATGAGTCTTTTTTTTTTTTTTGAGTTGGTGTCTTAGTCTGTCACCAAGGCTGAACTGCAATGGCATGATCACAACCACTGTAGCCTTGACCTGCTGGGCTCAGGCAATCCTTCTACCTCAGCCTTCCAAGTAGCTGGAACTACAGGCATGCGCCACCACATCCAGCTAATTTTTTTTATTTATTGTACAGATGAAGTCTCGCCAAGTTGCCCAGCGGGGGTCTCAAACCCGTGGGCTGAGGCAATCCTCTCATCTCGAACTCCCAAAGTGCTGGGATTATAGGCATAAGTCACCTCACCCAGCTAAGCCTTGTTTTTAGAGGTTTTTTTCCCCCCTCTTTTGAGTTGGGCTTCATTCTTGTCCAGGCTAGAGTGCAGGGCACAATCAAAGCCACTGCAGCTTCGACCTGCAGGGGATCCTTCCACTTCAGCCTTCCAAGTAGCTGGAACAATAGGCGTGTGCCACCATGCCTGGCTAATTTTTTCATTTATTGTAGAGATGAGGTCTCACCAAGTTGTCCAGGCTGGTTCGAACCCCTGGGCTCAGGCAATCCTCTCACCTCAGTTTCCCAAAGTGCTGGGATTACAGGTATGAGCCATCATGCCTGGCTAAAGTTTTTTAAACTGTGCTCCAAGAACTTAAATTATTTGTCTGAAATTACAGACAGAACAACTAGTTTTGTCCTCTTCTAGCAATTGCTAGGTTCAAAAATCTTTCCATAACACCACAAGGGTCTCTATTCACCCAAAAAACCAAAAGTCAGATGTTAGGAAAATCTACGTATCAACTTTTCCTGCATCTTAAAGTGATAAACCCAATCAGTACTAAATTTTACTCAAATTAACTTTATGTTTTATTTTGCTTTTGAGTAGAAATCTTACTCTGCTGCTGGAGTACAGTGGCACGCTCACGGCCACCACAACTTAGACCTGCTAGGCTCAGGCAATCCTTCCACCTCAGTTTTCCAAGTAGCTGGAAGTGCAGGAATGTACCACCACGCCTAGCTAATTTTTTTTTTTTTTTTTGAGTTGGAGTCTCACTCTGTCGCCCAGACTGGAGTACAGTTGCCGCTCTGGGCCACCGCAGTCTCGACCTGCTGGGCTCCGGCGATACTTCCGCCTCAGCCTTCCAAGTAGCTGGAACTACAGGCGCGCGCTACCACGCCCCGCTGATTTTTTGATTTATTGTAGAGATGAGGTCTCGCTGCCCAGGTGGGTCTCGAACCCGCGGGCTCAGGCAATCCACTCACTTCAGCCTCCCAAAGCGCGGGATTACAGGCTGAGCCACCGAGCCCGGCTTAATCTTTTGATTTACTGTAGAGACTCAACATGTTGCCTAGGCTGGTCTCGAACCCCAGAGCTCAGGCAATCCTCTTGCCTCCACTTCCCAAAGTGCTGGGATTACAGGGATGAACCACCATACCCAGCTTCAAATGAATTTTAAATGAAACAACATGCTACTTAGAATTTTTAACTATTATAAAAAAATAAAAGTATATGTATTTAGGAAGTATATATGAAAAAAATTACAATTAAAATACCTACATAGAAATGTGTTATGATTATTTTTGAAGACTGTATCATAAAATAGATAACATATTAACTTTACTGTCTATCCATCTGCTTTTTAAAACAGCTTTGAGATAATTCACCTATGATATAATTTACTCATTAAATATACAATGCATTCCAGAATATTCAGAACTAAATAATCATCATCACAATCCAATCTTAGAGTATTTCCATCCCTCCCAAAAGAAACCCTGTGTCCACTTGTTGTTAGTCCTATTTTCCACTCTCTCCAGTCCCTGGAAATCACTAATTAAATTTCTGTCTCTATGGATTTAACTATTCTGGACATTTCATATAAATAATACCATATACTATGTGGTCTTTTGTGTCTGACTTCTTTTATTTAGTATGTTTTAGGATTGTTTTTTGTTTGTTTGTTTTTTTAGTTGGAGTCTCACTCTGTCGCCTAGGCTGGAGTATAGTCACACACTCATGGCCACCGCAGCCTTGACCTGCTGGGCTCCGGTGATCCTTCTTCCTCAGACGTCCAAGTAGCTGGGACTACAGATGCATGCCACCATGCCCAGCTAATTTTCTGATTTATTGTAGAGATGAGATCTCGCCAAGTTGCCCAGGCAGTTCTCTTACCTACGTCTACTAAAGTGCTGGGATTATAGGCATAAGCCACTGTGCCTGGCCCATTTAGTATGTTTTAAAAGTTTTCCATATTGTACCATGTATCAGCACTTCATTCCTTTTTATGGCTGAATAATACTTCATTTATAGATATACCACTTTTGTTTATCCATTTGTCAGCAGATGTACATTTGGGTTATTTCTACTTTTCCAGTAGAAATAATTTCCATACCAGCTTTGTTTGGACATTTGTTTCATTTAGGTATATGCCTAGGGGTAGAGTTACTAGGTCCTATGATAACTCTAACTGACATATGGTCAAATTCTTCCAAAGTAGCTGCATTTTGTGCTCCCTCCAGCAATGTATGTGGGTTCCAATTTCTCCAAAGCCTTGTCAACCCTTGTCATTATCTATTTTAGTTATAAACATCCTAGTGGTTATGAAGTGATATCTCACTGGTTTTAATAGCTGAAGATATTAAGCATTTTTTTGTGTGCTTATTGGCCACTTATATATCCTCTGGAGAAAAGACTATTCAGATTATTTGCCCACTAGAAAACTGCATTCTTTTTATTGGGTTGTAAGAATTTTTGTTTTATTTTATTGTTTTAATTAATATTCAGGATATAAGCCCTTTAGCAGACACATGATATTTTCTCCCATTCTGTGAACTATCGTTTCACTTTCTTAATTTGCACACAAAGGTTTTTATTTTTATTTTTTTATTTTTAAAGAGACAGGGTCTTGCTCTTTTGCCCAGGCTGGAATACGGTGGTGCCATCACGACTCATCGCAGGCTTGAACTCCTGGGCTCAAGCGATCCTCCCACCTCAGTCTCCTAAGTAGCTAGGAGTACAGGCGCACCTCACCACATCCAGCTAATTTTTTTTTTTTTTTTTTTGTAGAGACAAGGTCTATGTTGCTCAGGCTGGTCTCAAACTCCTAGGCTCAAGTGGTCCTCCTGCCTCAGTCTCATAAAGCTCTGGGATTGCAGGTGTGCGACTTCTTGTCCAGCCAAAGGCTTTTAATTCTGAAGCTTAATTTAACTATCTTTTACTTTTGGTGTAGTATTTACCTTACCTAATTCAAGGTCATGAAGATTTACTCCTATGCTTTCTTTTAAGAATATACTTTTTGGCTGGGTGTAATGGCTCATGCCTGTAATCACAGCACTTTGGGAGGCCTAGGTGAGAGGGTTGCCTGGGCCCATGGGTTCAATACCACCTGAGCTACTTGGTGAGGTCTCATCTCTATAATAAATCAAGAAAAATTAGTCAGGGCCATTGCTTTACTAGACTCTGGAGTAGTCATGTGCTCTTTAAGCTATGGCGGCCACCATAAGCTTTGGCCCCGTCTCCTACCTTGGAAAGGTGAATCAATCTCTCCCTTTCTCCAATTTACTTTCTAAATAAACTATATTTTCTAATCTAAAAAAAAAAAAAGAAGAGAAAAATTAGTCAGGTATGGTGGTACACGCCTGTAGTTCCAGCTACTTGGAAGGCTTAGGTGAAAGGGTCACTGGGCATGGTGGCGCACAGCTGTGGTTCCAGCTACTTGGAAGGTTGAGGCGGAAGGATCACCTGAACCCAGCAGGTCAAGGCTGGATTAGCCATGATCTTACCACTGCACTCCAGACTGGGCAGCAGTGTGAGACTCCAACTCAAAAAAAAAAGTTTCAAATTAAGCATTCATGATACAGTTTGTTAATTCCTTACAAGATTACCAAGTATTA